CTTATTTATGGAAATATTTTATTAAAAACCCAATCAGACATATAGTATTGAAATTCGCTTACCCAGCAGTTTGTAATTGAAGATTGATGATATAGAAATAACTATGATCTAAAAAAAAAATAGGAATCATATAAAACAACATGATGGTGATAGTTTTTTAGAGTCTTATTAACATTATAAAACAATGCCGTGTTCACAATAGTAAACCGAAAATCAATAAAAGAATGCTGGTTCATAAACTTCAAATAAATTGCTACAAAACCTGATCGGTTAACGCGTTCGAATACAGTTATTTGTAAAAAATGGGATTTCACAAAGTAGAATTACCTTCGTAAATTAGTCCTTTGAACGTTAAAATGCGGGCAAACTCACTGGCACTACTGTGTTTGGCATTAATTTCCATCAGAATTAAATTGTTTCGAATAAGGACATGATCTACGATTATTTGAAAACTAATTTGATGAATCTCCAACAAACGTTGCCTCCTCGTTTATAAATAAGTAGTATTTTGCAAAAGAATATAAATCTCTACTAAAAACATAATTCTACTCCAAGTCTTCTGCAAAATACTTTGTATAAATAATAACTTTCCAGTGATTATTTTTATATTACGGCATATGAAGAGAATAAATTTATTATACAGTTTTACATAATAATAATAATAAAATTCCTTTATTTAAAGCGGTCTCCAGAAAATTCTGGTTTTCAAGACAACTCAAGTCACAAACAGTTTACAAGTACACAATAATTTCAACAGTAGGTGAAACTAAACTAGCTTTAAATTGGCATTAAAAAATGAATTACATGACATGACTTTCATATTTCTTGAGAGGGTATTGTATGCCTGAGGTCCAAAGTATGAGAACTCCTTTTTACCTGTCTCACGCCACACTCTCGGCATTTCAAGCAAGCCGTCCTGCCAAGTACAGCGTTCCCTAACTGATGTTCGAGGCATAAGTTTCTTTTTCAAATAGGGAGGCAAATTAGAAGACTGTCTTTTGAATAATTAAAACAGTTTGTAGAAAATATTGTTTTTCCAAAGAGAGTACCTTAGCTATTATATGCAACATTCTATTATGTAGTCTATATTAGACTTCTCTTAAAGGTATCTTAATAGACAGTTATATGTTTAGCTTAACACATCCGTTTTATTTATTTCCATGTTTGACAAAACAGTAAATTAGATCCTGAAATATTTATCAATAATGTAAGTTTAATCATTTTGCTGTTAACTGACATTAAATAGGGATACCTTGTTCTTAAAATCAAACCAGACTTAGCACAGAGCTAAAAGCATAAGATCGTAAGGAACACATTATTCTGTTAATAACAACATAATCAAGACAAATCATGTGGGTAAGATACCATTATGTAAGGTGGAAATTTTAATGAATAAAAGCTTAGAACTGTTCCTAAGCTAGTGAGTGTGTAAAGTGGAAAGGATGAAAAGCGTGGGGGGATTCATGTGAATGGGTTTGAAAACTGATTAATCACAATATCCTTGTCATCAACAAATAGAGAGGTCTATAAACGCTTCAAGCAACAAATTATATTACAGCACTTATTAAAATTAATCTTAGAAGTCACTTTTCTACTACATTTTAAAAGGTATAGTTTGTGACATCTGATGACAAAATGGAAATAATGAGTTGTTTAATAAAAAACGAATAGACTTATTGCTTAAAGGTTTGAAATTGTGTTCCTTGTTTTTGTATTTTAAGCCTTAATAATGTGTATTTTAAATCATATAATTCATGCAAACTACTTTATTTTTATAATTAATAAAATACTTAATTTTAGAAAAAGAATATAATAACTTGATTCATTTAATTAATAATTAAAATATTTGAATCATTTTTCTAAGTAGTTTTTTTTTACTAATTTTCGACACATATACTACTGTTTAACGTGAAATCTTTTTATAAATTTTATTGTAACCACGGTTTATGCAATTCAATTATAAATTGTTAAGTGTATTGACAATTTGGTAATTATATAATTCAGCATTGATGATTAGGTATTTCGACACGCTTTAACAGCTGCTAGAGTTGTAAGCAGTTTACAACGAAGACCACCTCAATGCGGAATTTCCAATTCAACTACCCTTGTCCATTGTTAAAGTGCTGGGGATGGACCTGCAAAATCATCTTGTAGTACATTCACGACTTTAGTTCAAATTTTCTTACTGAAGAAACTCATGCTTCAACATGGAGACGGTATGTTTATGTTTGATTAAAATATTTAAAATTTTAAGCAATATACATAAAACAATAAGTAAAAATAAAAATAAATATTGTTTTTAACCATTTACATCCCTCGCAGAATCAATTAGTTTTTTTTTCTATCTGGCTAGCAATATTACTTATACACCGGAATAATGGCATAGTTAATTTCAATTCACGCAATAAGTTAAAATAAGTTTAATTTTTGTGCAATTCCTTGTACATGTTACCATCAATGTTCGTTTCAGTGTTTTCTTACCTAATTTCGAAATATTTTTAATATTTGTAATTTTATGGAACGTTTGATGTATAATTAATTCACAGAAATATTTTTATTAGCTAAAATTGTCATAAATATGTAAAAAGAATCAAGTATAGTGTTTAGTTAAATAGTTTTTATCCGTTTTACTGTATAAATATGTATATCTTTTAACAATTTGACAAAAGTCAAGAAAATCTATAAAAGGTTACTGAATCCAAATTTCACTAAACAAAAATTGTTTTTATGTTAAATGATTTCTTATATTTATCTTTTAAAATGAAAAGGTATTTATGTTGGATACAGTATGCATACTAAATGTAAAGACATATGAACAATGTGTCCATAACTTAATACATCTTAAAAAAAATACGATAACCTCTTTTATAGTATAGTTTGGATAAAATTAGTAAACAGAATTATCTTGTAACTAAAACCAACAAAATCGATAAATGTTTAATATTAAGTGTACAACAATAATGCATTATTGTTAATATACCTGTTCATTGAAAATTGGCTATCTAGTAGTCGAACATATCAGCGTGTAAGCAGCACCAGCATGTACATATCAGTATGTAACTTGATAATAGTATGAAAGGTCAAGTGTCAATATTATCTTTGTGGACGACCTGTCACATACAAAGAGGTTAGGTCTATCTACTAAACTCAGGAAACAATACGTGGCTATATCTGATGCCCCTAAAGGCAAAGTGGACTAACCCCAAAAAGTCATTTTTAAAATATTAAGTGCTAAAGACAAAAAACCATATCTTAGGCATCCAAAAAATTAACATAAGTCTTAACTCGTGATTATAACCTAGGGTCAAATTAATATACATCAGCTAACGTAAAACGTTCAAAGTGAAGATTGCCCTACAAAAATAGTACAGTATATCAATTATTTAATGAATTGTAAATTAAACTAAATATTAATTAGAAGACTTGTTAAATCTTCAACAAAATGTTCCATGTATGTTTTAAATATTACACTTACCATACCAGGTTGATAAAAAAAATTATATATTTATTTATTTTAAATCTTCCGTAAGATTTGATGAATGTTTTTGCTTGGTCTAGAACTGGTATTTAATTATTTACTTTCATTTCAATCAACTTTTTCAAGCACCACCCTGTGACCAAGTTTCCCACAGGCTTTCAGTTTGGTGATACGAATAGAACGATTGATCCAATAGAAATCTTTCTTAAAATACACAAAAAAGGTTTTATAAGAAAAAAACATTGTCTTACATTGCCCTATGTCAATGAAAAAATATAAGTATTTACGGAACATGAAAATGTATTGTGGTAGAATTTAACACATTTTACAATTACATATGCAATGAATTTATTTTAATTTTATATTTAATTATATGGTTACAAGCAAGGTGGATATCTACTTGCAAAGTAGCATTAAAATGTTCCAAAATCGTATTGATGTGGAAAATAAATAATCATGTAAAATAGCCATCGTTCATCTTGCTTTAGAAATAGCTTACCGGTTATAACCTCATAATATAATAACTACTAATTAAGAACAATAAATATTATGGATGTCTAACAGCTGTAAAAGGAAAAGAAATGTTAAACTATTTGTATGGTATAAAACCAAAAGACTAGAAATTCAATAATTATAATTGTACAGCCTATCGTGATCTGTCTACATTACTATCCATGGTTACATCAGAACGTTCTTTCATGTTCAGTACACTGCAATGCCATTGTCAGTTATTTTCATGTTAGCAACGTGACTACCATGGACAATCACAGTCTAAAATGTAAGATTTAGTTTTGTGGTGTTACTTTGAGTTACCTAGGGTAACTCAGAGTAAAGATTTTTAAATTCTTTAATCAACATAAAGCATATATTCTCTTAATTTTGAAAGATATACAAGAAAAATAGTCCTAATGAGTTTTACTTCATAAAACAATTTATTTGATCGTAGTTTAAAAGGTTGTATGTGGTAGATCAGTATTAGTCTATGGTGAATAACGTGTTTTTAGGGTTGCTAATCATTTAAATAACTGTTAATGCATTTAATATGTTTAAAGAAATATATTCAAGCTGTTCCAGAAATAAAATATCCTTAAGTATATGAAACATTATACTAATAAACATAATTATATCAGTAAAAGTCGATCGGGTATATAAATGTTTAAAAAATAATCGATTATAGATTAATCATTTGATTCTTTACAAATTAAACTATATATTAAAATTCTTGATTACACAAAAATAATTAGCTGACTTATTTAACAACACGGATAGTTTCTTCAAAGTGTTTTTCTCACCATTAATAATCTAGTAGCAAGAAAAAAAGCTCTGTGCTAAATTATTAAACCTAAAACCTGCAATTCGCATATGGTAGTTTGCGAAGGTTTAATATTGCTCTCCTGAATAATAAGATTGATTTTGTAAACACGTTTGGATGTTGTAGTAATTGGAAATAAGCTCGACCATTAGAATGGTAACTAAAGTCCGTTTCAAAAACATTATTTACTAGAGTTCTATCAAGTTCTAGTTCTATCAAAGAGACAGAGCAGAATCAAGTTCTCCGGCCAGTGCTTCAATTTCCCCCACCCCCCCCTGTGTCAAATAATACTAAGGAGGAAGTAGACAACAGCACCCCAGAGGAGCGTGATACAGCTACTCCGAGTTCGGAAGTAACGGAGCGGTCAACTCCAGATGAAGGCAGAGGTTTCAGACGCAAGGAGAAGTTCCAGGCAGATCCGTCGTGTTGTCCCGTGTGTGGTGTGACGCTCAGACCAGGAGAGTTGGATACCCACGTCGTCCAGGAGCTGGAGAGGTTGTACAAGCTCAGCGCCAACGTCAGGGTACGAAGGTTGTCCTCTCCGCACCCCCGGGAACATCTCTCGTCGTCCGACGGCTCTCTCGAGGCGAGATGGGAGACATATCAGAGGATTCGGGCGAATAGACAAAGTAGGCTAAGGATAAAATACCGCAAGCGAAAACCTGATGAAGTAGCTTGCCCTGTGTGCAACGAACCTATCCAGGGAACATTGGAAGAGGTTAACCATCATGTGGAGACCTGTCTGCGAAAGCATGGATCCATCAATGAAGAGGAGGAGAACGTAGATGAAGAGGGGGAAGGCAACTCCGAGGTTTATGAGGAGTATGAGTGGGCTGGACAACGTAGGATACGAGCTTCCACACTTCTTGTTGGGGGCTTTGCTGGCGCAGGGACGGCCAGTGGGAGTAGAGGAGGTGGGGACGAGGAGGAGGGTGATCTAGTAGTCGATGAGGATGATTCTGCCACATTTGGGCCGACACAGTACTCAGAGGTCGACGTCGTAGTGCCCTCAACTGACAGTTCAACTGAGGACAAGGAACGGGAGGCTCTTAGAGATGCCATTATCAGTCCCAGCGGCAATGGGAGGATATCCAACTACTCTGCGAATGTAAAGAAGGAGCCAATGACAGTGGATTGCTCCCGGAGTGATGAGCCCAAGACTGATGGAGACTCCCAAGTCATTGAGGCTCTCAAGAGGATAATTCGAGACCTCGAGTCCGAGTCCAAAGGAGTGTCAGAAGAAAAGTTCCTCTGCCTCATATGCATGAAGAATTACAAGAAACCAGTGATTTCCGTTTGTTGTTGGCATGTCCATTGTGAAGAATGCTGGCTTCATACATTGGGAGCAAAAAAGCTATGTCCGCAGTGCAACATGATAACTTCACCTTCTGACCTGCGCCGCATATACTTGTGATGAATTGATTAGTTTAAATATCAACCCTGCCTTGTTTAGCCTTGTACAGTCCTTGTAAATGTAACATGTATTTATGTATATACTGTAATTTTGCCACCTCAAGACTGAAAAGACAAAAATCAACAAAAGTGCGAATCTCGTTCGATGTATTTTTGTTGTTTTGTAGATAAATAAAACATTTTAACTCTAAATAATAAACCTAATGAAGAATCTAAACTTTGCATATCTTTATGGCAAATTTCAAATATATATTTGAAATAGCATTTAAAGCTTTCAGTATAGTTATTATGGTATAATCTGGGTTAGAAATGATTACTGTTTGGTTTAATTTAGTAGAAAAAAATTAAAATCATTTAATTTTCTTTTTTATGGTTACAGTTCCATCATGTTAAAATTAATTGGTTTCAAATTAAAAGACTAAAATGCGAGCGATGTACAAGCTAGTGTGGAAAGGTCAAAGGGTTTAATTACGTGAGTGTCGTATATCTATTTTGACAAACTTTAAACGATTTTTTAACCTTTAATCAAGAAATGGAACGTTCAATGTAAAATGTAACGTTTCTAACTAACATTGGCTTGCTGCTTTATTTAGATTGATCGCTGCAGTTAATGAGGGTCCCAATTGATTTAGTTTATTTTGTTACATGTTAAACATAATGTGTGCATTGAGTTTCATTCTTTTTATCGTTAAAATATGAATTAAAACATAAATATGAATGTAAAAAAATCCTTAGCTAATATATAAGGACTATTAATACACTAAATAAATAGGTCGTTGAGCGCTGGTTTTTGCAACCGTTTAGTGCTTTACTAAACTGTTGTAATTGTTTTGATATATTTATAATTGCATCAAATTGTATTTTATGGTTTAAATTTAAAGACAATTCAACTACAGCTAAAAAAAACTACATATTCCGTGATGGTCCATAAATATAAAAATTTGTCTGTGTGTACGACTTCTTAATGGTTTTGTTTCACCCATATTGTCAAGTGGAATTTTTTATACCACAGTTAGTTCTGCTTTATTGTTAGAGAAGATACGGGGCAAAATAATGGAGCAAGCATATCGGTTACAAACGTGAGGTGGTAAGGGTTTTTATTGTGGTTTAGTTTCGAACAAGTTGGAGCTTGTATAAATATAACACTTCTCTTTTGCGTAAAATATTATAAAAAATGCACAATACACAAAGAAATCATATATTCAAATTTGAAACGAAACTTGACAGTTATGACAAGTAAAAATGAACATTGTATATAGTCAATAAAACAAACACGTCAGAACATTAAAGGTCAAAAGGTATTAGTCTGGTTTATGATTGAAACTGTCCTGAACATTTGTTGAAATTCTGGAACAATATTTGATTTTTAACACAAGATTGTAGTGGCAGATAGTGAAGTCTGTTATTTAGATTATGCTTACTTTTACCAGGGCTAAATTAACTGTCTGCTGAAATTATTTTGAGTCAGAAGGAATCTAGTGAACTAAATTGGAAGGCAATCCTGTTTAGTTACCTTGTTCATTTTACCAGTTTGGTTTTAGTTATGGAATTGAATAAAGTTATAGTTATTGAATTGAATAAGTTGATTTATCGAATCATACACAACCTGTAATGTAATTTCTTTATTGTATTTACATATTATACCTGGATTCTGAACCGCAAGGCTGACAGTGTTAATTTTACCACTAGGCAGTAAAGCAACAACATTGAAAGTCCCGTTCTCATGACTCTGAAACCATACCGTTGTGATAATTTATGCATTAATTCTAAATGAAATAAAAAATTGTTTAAAAGTCCGCACATAACAAGTCATTCAGGTGTGTGGAAAGTGTTGGGATTGCATGACGTGCTACACAAAACTTTTCAAGCGTGATTTCCTTGTATCAGCAAATAGAAAGTCCAGTTAACACGTCATGTTAAAAACATTTAAACAATTCTGTTTAATTTTAGTGAATTTTAACAAATATTTCGGGAAAATTACCTCAAAACATTAATTAATTAACATTAATTAACATTAATTAACATACAATTAATTGTAACATTGGATATTTTCAAACGTATATAGGTTTTAACACTTATTATTATTTTGTACATGACTAAACATAATATTAGAAGTTATTATGTAACATGACATTCCCAGGTGAAGTTTAATAATCTTAAAACTTAAACAATGTATAATTATTTATTAAACCTGCATTTTTAATGGGTCGCATTTGTTTTCATGAATGTTTCCCCAATTTCAGTTTACTACCAAGGAGAGTAGTAGGTATTTACAGTTGAACCTCAAAACTAGACTCACATGAAGATTATTAAATACGACTTGTTATCTTGATTTCCTTTATCATAGAGGTTTGCAATAACTTTAGATTAGGGGTGAAAAAAACTCTAGAGGATTTGAAAATAACACTTGTTATCTAGGGTGAAATATCATCGATGGTCTTGTTATCGTGTCGATGTTATTATTGTGGAGGGGAATTTAAACATTTTGCGTAAAAAATCCGTTGCTAGTCAAAATCGATGTTTAAAAAAAGTGCAGTTCGTTGGTTTATCAAAATTAAAATGTGATATTTATATTTGATAAGTACCTTGACATAATACCTTAAAAGGTAGGTAGAGAGTTGCAAAATACCCTACAATTTTATGTTAACAGTCAAAAAATGTCAGGGGATTTACACATTAACACAGTAATTACTAAACTAAACACCTATTTTTTAATTTTTCATTGGCTAATAGTTTTAATTTTAGTTTTCAACTTTCAAAAGAATGCATACTACGTTGCATCGTTGTGAATAAACTGTTTATAATAAAAAAATAGTCATAATTTTATTACTTAAACACTATTTAAAAAGTAATCTAAGGTCCAAAACGATTTATTGTGTATATTTTAGTACTCCGTAAAAAAAATTTGAATGGGCAGATTAGACTTAACAACATTATTATTTCACAGAGGTAAGGGTAAGTAGCGTAGTGGTGTAAGTAGTGATAAGTAGTGTAGTGTACTAAGGGTAAGTAACAAGTTAATAGCATGGACGTTAATGATGTTCACTACTTATACGTCAATTTAACGAGAGGAAATAATTTTCGCCTCTCTGCACTGATGAAAATTAATGCTTTTAACGGAGGCATGAGACTATTTACACGCTAAGTAACAATATTAAGCGAGTCATATGGTACATAATATATATTGGGAACATTTACTTGAGCCATAAATTTTGTATTGAATTGACCAGGGTGAGTTAAATAACATGATTAAGCTATTCTAATAAACTATATAAAGTTCCCACCGGTAAAAAAATAACTGGTTTGATAGCAGCAATTTATAAATAATTAATCTCAATAGTATTAAAAGTGATAATCTATGATATTGTGTCCCAATGTTTTTGAAAATTACAGTTTTTATATCATGATTTACATATCAAAATATGATTTGATGAAAGCATGAAAGGCCAAGTTTCAATATCATCTGTGTGAATGACCGGTTACATACAAAGAGGTTATCTTCTATACACAGGGAACAATACGTGGGTATATCTAAAGCATCACGTTATCCTCAACATGAATGGGGCCTACTAGACAATGTCTCTTTTAAATTAACTATTTGTTTCGTTAAATTATTATAAGCTCGATGACACGTATGTTAAATTAAAGGTTTGAAATAATCAAGACATTATTCTGACAAGAAGTATTTATTGGTTCTTAAAATATGGAGATGATCAATCAAATAACTTGTTTTTTCTAACAAATATTCCATCAATTATGGTGAAACTATTTTTAACCAATTTTATTTTAAAATTTCTCTCCAGCTTTAATTTTGTTAAACTGAAAAATTTTTATTTAACATAGACTACTAATAAGAATTGCAATTATTGTAATACGTAATTAATCACGTAATTGTTGAATTAAAAAGTAATCGGTAAGCGATTAAATGAAGTATCGTTAGAATTACACAATTAAAAAACATACAAATTAGGTTATACATTGTTAACAAATACTACACTACTTGTAATGTTCATTGTATAGTAAATTTATAATAAATCGTATTCATATTGATATATATGGACAATTAAAATTTAAAGACTAATTGGTGTTTTCTTGTAGATTATAATTTTATTTGTATTTATTAGTATTAATTATGGTTTTCATTGCTTATTCTTAATGTATCTTAATGTATCAAAACGTATCTCACTAAAAATATCTTCACTCTTATCTGCCAAACTAAGTAAAATTTTTAGTTGGACTGAAATTACAGGTGGATACTAAAAATATCTAATGAAAAATAAATACCGTACATCAACTGTGTTTTAGAGGAAATTAGTGTTAATAGAGTTTCCATGAACCTAAACACGAACTGAACTCCTTACATGAAATGATGCAAACCAATATATCAAGATTTTGAAGATTTTTTTTTTATTTCATTTAATGAATTTAATGCTTTTATTTTAGGTTTAAAATGTATAATAGGGTTGTTATGGGGTCTTTATATTATTTAAAAGACTTAAGTTCTAGATCCACAGAGATATACACGTATATACTTGAAATATTCGCCTTTAGATAGTAATGTACCACTTAATTTAAATTGTGATTATAATCTTTCGTAAAATAAATATAACATAGCTAATTAAAAAACTATTCAAGCTGTTCATTGTTTCAATTCAATTCAATTCACGGTGAATTCACGTAGGTAAAATTGAATTCAATTCATTTCAATGCAATTATTTCAACACGTTTATGTTATAATAAATGATTCTCAATAAAAAATATATAAGTTTAAATTTACTGATATTATTAAAGAGTGCCCAAATTAATCAATAATTATTTCAATAGTTTAGGTGTGGTGTCAAATACAAATACAGGCACGTTTAATATAGTTATATGTACATTGTTTTATTATGTCATATAACATTTTCTATGATTAGATTTTAACAATTTCTCTTCAACTAAACTTAAAGGTACGAGAAATACAATGTAAGGAGAAAATAGTGTTGTGTTGCAATGTATCTGATGGACGTTTCCGCTCCGTCTGAACTGTACGAAAACTCCGTTTTCCTAATGGAGACCTGAACAAAGACATTTATCCCTCTATACGTCATCTTCAAAAATAAAAAAATA